AAGAAAAAAATAAACTATAGTTCATTTATTTTATTTTCAAAAAAAGAAACAAACAATGAGATTAAAGATTAAAGAGTGTTAGTTCTATCTCAAAAAAAAATACTATGAAAAAATGTAATACAAAAAAAAACAAATGATCAAAAAATCAATTTAACGAAATTTAAATGTCAACGAAAAATAAACGAAAGATCAACAAAAGATCAACAAAAATATCTTTTACATAACGATAATGGTCAAATTTAACATATTATTACCAAAATCAATAAAAATCATATAGAAGTTTGAAGATCAGTACAACCAAGTCACGATAAATTACAATGACAATCTCCTTCGCCAAAAAATAAGCATTTTTTTTTTATTAAATGTTGTTAGTTCAAATGATCTGATCATATTAAAAATATTGCATTATTATCCAATTTTGGTTAATTCAAATGATCATCGAAAAGAAATTTTAAAATCATCATTATACAAGTTTGATAAGTTCCATTTTTTGCCGCAAAATAATTGTTTAAAGAACATTGCTAGTTGATTTTAACAAAGAAATTTGCCATAAATATTATAATAGAAAAATTGCTTGTAATTAATTAAAATAATAATTGGATTAACCATTTTCATATGATTTTGGCTTTAACATTTTTAACATTCTATAAAATAATATGAAAATTTTTTACATAAATTATAATTATAAAGTTTCAATTGTTTTACTTTCTTTTCTTGTTCTTTAAAAAATAAAGATATTAATTTTAATAATACAAAAAAAGATTGATTGTAACAAACATGTATCGCAAACTTTTTCTAAACTAGTCAGTATTCAGTATCCACGGTATATAAAGGTGAAGATAGTAATTACACAACTATTCATCCAATCAAATCAGATCAGTTGATGATTTGATATGATATAATGCAAAGCATTTTGTTGCTTACACGCGTTCGAATTTACAGATCGATTTTCTAAATAAGAGATTATTTTTTTAAAAAAAATTAATAGAATTGAATGAGTAAGTTATGTAATAAACTTTTTATTTATAAATTAGTACGAGTTGTATATAATTTTATTCATTTTATACAAAGATTCGACTATTACGTAACCTTTTACAATCGAAAGGAAAAGAAAAAATGAATTAAGTAACTGTAAAATCTTGAGTAAGTCGTTCAATTAATTCATTGAAAATAAGCAATTGTGGTTATTTTTGCGAGCATGATACAGGTAGTATTAAAAAAAATTAAAAAGGTAAAAGAATATAGTGGTGAAATAAAAGGAGATAAGAAATAAGGTATGTGAATTTTTAACTAAATATATTTATTTTTTTCTTAAATTTCAAGTCAAAATAAAAAAGTTTATATAAAAAGAAAAAACCAAAACGGCAGCCAGACTTGATAAAAAAGTACAAGCAAAAGGCGGCCTGACATTTCGTCATTCGCCATAGTAAAAGTAAAAGAAAATTTAAGCAAAAAGCGTCACGTCATTTCGCCTTCGCCATGATGGAAAAATTTCAATATAAAACAAACTGAAATAAGTGGTTGGGTGCGAGACGAAATGACGGTTGACATGTTAACCTTGATTACTAATTCACCTTCCATTGTCTTCAAATGATCAGCAGTCACCAAATCTTTTAATAAATGAATAGAAAGTGAAATCAAAAGTTAAAATCCTCTCATTATATATAATAATAATAGATGGTATAAAACCTGCCACTGCCACGCGATACAATTATTTTACTTATTTTACGCATATCGTTAAACATCAAAAAATTATTTAGTTATAATGGCTATAAACGTGTGCCTGTCATCGATTTTTCGTTTTCTAACAAGTGATTTCTTAAATGCCTTTCATTATAATTTTAGAAAAATAAATCTTTATCAGCTATTTCCAACATTGATTTAAAAAAAGATTATTTCTCTTAAAAAAATTTCTCAAAAAAAAAAGTAAAATAAATTTATTAGTAACATAGTAAGTAACCCTGCACATGATCGGATTTGACTTCGTACTAGATTTTAAATCTATAATTTTGAAAATTAATACGACGAAAAAAAATTTGTAAATTGATAAAAATTCACTGATTACGTCCATTTGAGAAAATCTAAAACTGTTTATAAGCATAAATTTTTGTATTCTTTTCTTTTGACGTGAAATCCACCATTTAAAAGGTCTGATTTTCATCAAGGTTGACATTTTTACACACAATAAAGGTCTTATCATCTTGAACATTGTATATTTTATCTCGTGAAGCATCCACATTTTCATTATCATTTTGTCGTGTCATTTCGAACCTTTTACACGATACATCACTCAATCAAACTCCAACCATCACCAATAAAAGTGCATAATATAAATTAAGTGGTTTCACAATATCCAGCCAAGCCAATTAATTATAAGATCTTCATTTACTTTCGAATTTTATTATGACCGATGCACACTATTATATACTAATAAAATTTCATGTCTTATATTTTGTTTAAAATTCGTACATAATGGGCTCATTTCGGATGAGTGATACGGAGTAATATCGACAAATGAGTATAGTATATCACGTGAAAGGGTTTTTTGTTATACTAAACAGACCTAACCAACCAATATTAACGTTAACTCCTAGCAATTAAATATAAAAGGTCATACTCAACATCAATTATATACCCATACAATACTCAATTGATCGACCAAACTTTCCGTCTTACATAATATGTATAAAGATAAATTTGAGTTTGATTACCATTTATAATTAGGTACAATATGAACATTTGCTCGACACTCCAAATGAATGAAAATTGATCAACCAAAAAGTGAACGATGAATTTTTTCTCATAATTTAAAATTTACTTTGAAATTAATTCCTTACTTGAATTTTTTTATAATAAATATTAGAATAAATTTCATTTATTGTAACACAAATTATGTATGGAAAATTGATCGACATGCATGCAGAAAGTATAAATGAAAATCGAATGTTCTAAAGTCTCGTTTTTTTCCTTAAAAAAAAATAATAATAATAATAAAAATAAGCTCGTAAAGCTTCCACATAAGCAGGTAAAACGCTAACAAATCAAGCTATCATCCTTCTTCAATAATCAAACTCTGCTATCATTCTTGCAATAGGGTTACTCGATATGGAATCACCAACCGCATGGGATATTAATGATGGACGTAATCTTTTAAAATTTAATTCAGACAATCTTATAGTGACTTATACAGGTGAGTTTATTACATTCATGTTGTATAACAATCATAGTTTTACTGTTTTCGTATGGAATCACTTATTCTTGCATAACTACAATTATTTCAAATATAAAGGTCTGGGTGAGGAAGAAAACTGTGCTGCAATACGAGCAAATTTTCCGATTCCTGAACAATGTGGATTATTTTATTTTGAAGTTGACATTATAGATAAAGGGGAAAATGGGTATGTTGTAAAATTTTGGAATACTGTTGTTTCTGTTATATGTAAGTTGATTATTTAAAATTTGCCGATAATTATATTTTTCAAATTCCATAGGGAGATTGGAATCGGGTTTGCACAAAATCAGCTAGCTTAAATAAAATGCCAGGTAACTTTACTCTTCTTTTTATCAGTTTAATTTGTTAAATAAATTTATTTATTGAATTATTTATATTGTAGGCTGGGAAGATAGCTCATGGGGTTATCATGGTGATGATGGGAATATATTTTTTAACGCTTCTAGGGGAAAACCATATGGAAAAGAATTTATGACCGGTGATACTATTGGATGTTGTCTAAACATTAGAAATAATATGATATTTTATACAAGAAACGGAGTGAATCTAGGTATATTACAAATTCTAAATACTTTTAAGTTAATAATAGAGACTGACTTTAATAATATCTATTGTATATTTTAAGGTATTGCATTCCGATATTTGAAAAATGCTTTATATCCTTGTGTTGGAATTTTGTCGCCAGGTGGAACTGTAGGAGCAAACTTTGGCTATAGAAAGTTCAAATATACAGGTATAATTATTTAGTTTCTTTTTTTCTTTACTTTATTGATAATAATTATCTTATTAGTGATGAATGATGATGATATCGATGAATCTTTAAAGGAGAATTGGGCTGAAATTCTTAATCCATATAATAACAAATTAATAAGTCAACAGATTAATAGATTTGCAGATTTAAAACAATCATCAGATGTTGAACACTTACTAAAATACCGATTAAAGTTTTATTTTGTTATAGGTGAATATGAACTAGCACTTTCAGATTCGATAAAGTTGCTGGAGTTTGAGGCAAATAATACATTTGCATTAAGATATCGAGGAGAAACTTTTTGTATAATGGAAAAATATGAGGAATCACTTGCAGATTTAAACAAATTACTAGAAATCAAAGCAAACGATACATGGACGTTAAGTGCCTGTGATGTTGTTAATAAGTTGAGTATAATGTTTGTTAGTAATGTTAAGGATTAAATTTAATAAATCTTTTCTAATAAAAAAAAATCAAATTTTCAGCAAAGATTTTAATGGTAATGGAATTTATATCATTAGCAACATTTATATATTTGCTAATAATTCTTTATTAATTAAATTCTTCATTGTATAGCTTGTAAGCTATTTAATTTTTATACATCTTAACTTATTAAATTTTTTAATTAACAATATTTAATAATATAGGGAGTAAGTTTTTAATTTTTTTTATATTGCAATTTAAACATAACATAATTAATTTATTTTAAAAAATTTTCAATTGCATTTTAGTTAGTAAGTTATTTTTATCTTTTACATATTGTATAATTATATTTTTATAAAAATTTAAATTTTACTTTACTTAAAACCTTATAGATGGTAAGTTTTATTTATTAATTAAATCATTTATAATTTTATTTTATTTTAAATAATAATAATAATTATTATTAATTACAGAAAGTAAATTATTTTAATATACTTTTTATTGTAATATAATTTAAATTCAATTAAATTTTTTTTAAAAAACAATTAATCTTTTAGATTGTAGGTTATTTTTTTTTTGATTATTAGTATTTAATTATTCGTTTTATTATAATTAAACTCAAGATTTTTTATTTAATAATAATTAAAATTTTAGCCTGTAAGTAATTTTTATTAATTATTAGTATTTAGTTATACTTTTTACTATAATTTAAATTTAACTAAATTTTTTATTTAAATTAAAAATATTAATAAAGGGGGTAAATTATTTTTATTGATTATCAGTATTTAATTATACTTTTTTACTATAATTTAAACTGCTAATTTTTTATTTAAAATTAAAAATTTATTAAAGGAGGTAATCAATTTTTATTGTTTAATTATACTATTTACTCAATTTAAACTCAACTAATTTCTTATTTTAAAAACATTAATAATAAATAATACAATAGATTGTAAGTTATTTTTATTAATTATTATATTTTTACTGTAATTTAAATTCAATTAAATTTCTATTTAAACAATTGTTTTTTTAGCTAGTACATTATTTTTTTTTAATTATCAGTATTTAATTAGACTTTTCATTGTAATTAAACTTATCTAAATTTTTTATTTAAAATTAAAAATATTAATAAAGGAGGTAATTCTTTTTATATTTAATTTAATTATACTTTTATTGCAATTTAAATTCAATTAAATTTTTATTTAAAAAAACTATTAATTATTTAGATAGTAAGTTATTTTTTTTTGATTATCATACTTTTTACTGCAATTTTTATTTAACTAAATTTTTATTTAAATCAAAAATACCATTAAAGGAAGTAAGTTATTTTTATTGATTATTTATACTTAATTAACTTTTATTATAATTTAAACTCAACTAAAATTTTATTTAAAATTAAAAATATTATTAAAGGAGGTAATCTATTTTTATTGATTATTATGATTATTAGTATTTAATTATACTTTTTACTATAATTTGAATTTCTTATTTAAAAAACTATTAATAATTAATAATACAATAGATGGTAAATTATTTTTATTATTTATTTATACTTTTTATTGTAAATGAAATTCAATTTATAAAACAATTAATAATTAATAATATAACTGATTGTAAGTCATTTTATTAATTATCAGTAATTAATTATACTTTTTATATTTAATTAAATTTTGATTTTAAAAAACAACTAATCTTTTAGATCGTAAGTTATTTTTATTAATTATCTGTATTTAATTATACTTTTTATTATAATTTGAACTTAACTAAATTTTTTATTTAAAATTAAAATTATTATTAAGTTGGTAAGTTATTTTTATTAATTATTAGTATTTAATTATAATTTTATAGTTATTTAAATAACTAAATTTTTTATTTAAAAAAATAATTCTTTTAGATTGTAAGTTTTTTATTGATTATTAGTATTTAATTATACTTTTATTGCAATTTATATCAACTAAATTATTTATTTAAAAAAAAAAATAATTAATAATACAATAGATTGTAAGTTATTTATTAATTATTAGTATTTAATTATATTTTTTATATTCAATTAAATTTTGATTTAAAAAACAATTAATCTTTTAGATTGTAAGTTATTTATAGATTATTATACTTTTACTTTAACTTAAACTCAACTAAATTTTTTATTAAATAAAAATAATTACTAAAGTTGGTAAGTTGATTTTATTAATTATCAGTATTTAATTATACTTTTATTATAATTTAAACAGCATTAAATTTTTTTATTTAAAAAAATAATTAATAATTAATAATATAACAAACAGATGGTAAGTTATTTTATTAATTATTAGTATTTAATTATACTTTTTAATATAATTTAAACTCAAATAAATTTTTTATTTAAAATTAAAAATATTACTAAAGGAGGTAAGTTATTTTTATTGATTATTAGTATTTAATTATATCTTTTAAATTCAATAAAATTTCTTATTGATAAAACAATTAATAATTAATAATACATAGATGGTATTTATTTTTATTTGTTATTAGTATTTTTATTGTAATTTAAACTCAACTAAATTTATTATTTGAAAATAAATATATTATTAAAGAAGGTAAGTTATTTTTATTGATTATTAGTATTTAATTATATTTCTCACTTTAATTTAAACTTAATTAAATTTTTTATTTAATAATTTATAATATAATAGATGGTAAGTTATTTTTATTGATTATCGGTATTTATTTATACTTTTTATAATAATTTAAATTTAATTAAATATATTATTTAAAAAATAATTAATTATAATAGATAGTAAGTTATTTTTATTATTTATCAGTATTTAATTATACTTATACTATAATTGAAACTCTACTAAATATTTATTTAAAATAAATATTACTAAAGTGGGTAAGTTATTTTTATTAATTATTAGTATTTATATTATTTAATGTAATTTAAATTTAACTAAATTTTTCATTTAAAAAAAATAATAATTAATTATAAAATAGATGGTAAGTTATTATTATTGATTATAAGTATTTAATAATACTTTTTAACTTTACTAAATATTTATTTAAAAAAATAATTATTATAATAGATAGTAAGTTGTTTTTATTAATAAAATTTAATTATACTTTTTATTAATATTTATATTCAATTAAATTTGCTATTTAAAAAAACCATTAATCTTTTAGATAGTAAGTTATTTTTATTGATTATTAGTATTTAATTATACTTTTTACTATAATTAAATCTCAATTAAATTATATTATTATTAGTTGGTAAGTTGATTATAGTATTTAATTATATTTTTACTATAATTTAAACTAAACTAAATGTTTTATTTAAAATACATAATTAATTAATAATATAATAGATGGTAAGTTGTTTTTATTACTTATTATATTTAAATTATACTTTTTATTATAATATAAACTTAACTAAATTTGTTATTTAAAAAAACAATAATCTTTTAGTTAGTAAGTTATTTTTATTGATTATTGGTATTAAATTATACTTTTTACTGTAATTAAAAGTCAATTAAATTATATGATTATTAGTTGGTAAGTTACTTTTAATTGTTTAGATTTAATTATATTTTTTATTACAATTTAAACTCAACTATATATTTTATTCAAAATAAATTATTAATTAATAATATAATAGATGGTAAGTTATTTTTATTATTTATTAGTATTTAATTACTGTAATTTAAACTTACCTAAATCTTTTATTTAAAAAATAATTATTATTAATAATATAATAGATTGTAATTATTTTTATTGCTTCAGTATTTAATTATACTTTTAAACTTGTTTAAATTTTTTTATTTAAAACAATTAATGTTTCAGATCGTAAGTTATTTTTACTTTTTATTAGTATTTTAATTATACTTTTTTTGTAATTTAATTTTAACTATACTTTTTATTTAAAAAACAATTAATCTTTTAGTTAGTAAGATATTTTCTTAATTATCAGTATTCAATTATACTTTTACTGTAATTTAAATTCAATTAAATGTTTTATTTAAAAAAAATTAATTTATAAGTTTGTAAGTTATTTAATTTATTAATAGTATTTAATTTTAAATTTAAACTCAACTAAATTTTTTATTTAAATAAAAATTTATTAATAATATAATAGATGGTAAGTTAATTTTATTGATTATTAGTATTTAATTATACTTTTACTTTAATTTAAATTTAACTAAATTTTTTATTTAAAAAACAATTAATCTTTTAGATAGTAAGCTTTTTTATTAATAATTAGTATTTATTATACTTTTTACTGTAATTTAAACAACTAAAATTTTTTATTAAAAAAATAAATAATTAAAAATATTATTAAAGCGGGTAAGTTATTTTTATATATTATCATTTTTAAATTCAACTCAATTTATTTTTAAAAAAAACAATTAATTTTTTAGATTGTAAGATATTTTATTGATTATTAGTATTTAATTATACTTTTTATTGTAATTTATTTAAATTTTTTATTTTAAAAAAAATAATCAATATTTAATAATATCACAGATGGTAGTTATATTAATTGATTATTAGTATTTAATTATACTTTTTACTGTAATTTAAATTTA